GGATTTCCCCAACCCAGGTGCAGTATGTAGTAGTCATCAGTATAGCTTGCAGTACGGCTAACTCAGTGTAATAACTGAGCCACCAACACCTGATGAGTAGATCCAAACTGTTTTTACCTCTGTCCCTGTTATACTATCACTTCCTCACTTCTTGTCTGACCTCACATTGAACTGCTTCAAGAAACCAGGCCTGCACAAACCTCACCTCTCCTGGTGGGGCTCATTTTCTGCCAGCTTAACTACCTGACTGTGTTCACTGTAGGGTCACAGAAGAGCCATGAAAATGACAATTGATCTTCAGCTTTTATAACAGCAGTAGATAAGACATAGTGTAGCATACAGTATCGTAGGGATTAAAAGATAAAATTGAACAGCTCTTCAGTAGCAGCTATGAATCCAGCCCCTGCAATGAATGAGGTAAGTAGTTTCCTACCTCACAATGCCTAGGTCTGTACACTCATCGAATGGTGGATTCCTTCATTTTGACTGTCTGCTTCCATCCACCTTTAGAGCAGCGATTAGTAATATTTAGTTTTTCTGTTGTAATTCTGTCTCAGAGCATGTCTCATAGTTGTGTGGGATGGCAGAAAGTAAATCCTGTTGCATTCATGAACTTTTAAGACTATGAAATACCTGTAAGCAGGATCACTGGACCTCCTGTATTTGTTTTGCTCGAGTACCCTTGAGCATGCCTGCCCTGCTCTCACCCTCAGCTCCTGGATCTTCTTCCCCTGTGTGGCAGCCCACTCCTCCTTACCCCTTGCAGGCAGCTCTTGCAGTCTCAAATTCCTAAACTGCACCATGAAGCCTGGCTTTCAGGCTGTGCAAGACCTTGCTCCTCAGCTGGGCTACCATGAACCATGCCCCAAGATCCAGCCCTGGGCTCCACAGCAACCTTCCTCAGAGCCCAACTCCAGGGCCCCAGCTGGCTCCTGCTGCTGAATGACATTTCCCACCCGCTTCAGAGACAGTGTTCAGTTTGACGGATTAAAGTCTGGGTAAAGTTCAGATTGATGGAAAACACAGTCCTACAATGGGACTTGCAGGGCAAACAATAATATTTTCTTCTACAAACATTGTCTATAGTATTATTACAACCAGGAATACAGCATAGCCACATAAGCTTAAATACCTGTTTCTCCAGAACTTGTTGCTGCTGAGAGTAACGGATTGCTATCAGCTGATCCTGATTCATTCTCTTCCATCGATCTGTGACCACACGATGTCTACCAAAGGAACTGACAGCTTGTTCAGGGTTTTCAGAAAGTAAGTCTCCTTGAAGGAGGCTGGAAATTTCATCCATGTCATCCTTCATTTTTTGATACTTTTCCAACTTCTTTCTCTCAGCTAGTTCAGCAGCCTAAATTTAGTGAAAGGAGAGAACTTAGAGTTTCTCCAAGAGAAAATATTAACTTTCCAACTTGCATACAATTGCCAACAGAATCGCATATGAATAGTATGATCATGGTCCTATTGGCCAAGATCAAAAATCTAATATTATACATTTATTTAATGCTGTCATATCACATACAGTAAGTAATTTGGGAGAAAATAGTATCGTTTTATAAGAAAAGCCAGAATGAAATTAAAAATGCCACTTTTATCCACAAGCAAATGCCAGTTGATATTTGGAGGCCAGACCCAATGTGGAAGAAATTTACAGTAAAAATTTACAATCACTAGCCTTGATATCTATGACATATGAAATCTGTGTGGAAAGCATAGTTAAGCAGTCAAAACAAATAGACAGGAGATGCCATTGTTAAGCCTGAAGATGCAGCCTTGAATCCATTCCCTTTGCTGATACAAAATGCAAACTTCAATTGTATTATGTGAATATATCTGTAATATTAGAAATCATAACATACATTTCCTGTGGAAACCACTGTTCTTAATGTCCACTTTAATGTCATAGTCTCCTACACTTCTTCACTCAGAGGAAATCACAAAACTCCATAAAGCAAATATGATGATTTTACTTAAAAGCAGATTAACTTCCAAAGGTAATTCATATTAGACTAAGGAAACAACTTGAAGTAGAACAATAATGCTATGCATCACCCATTTCTAATCCCGTCTCATTCTTCTGTAATGCGTAAACTAAACCATCTGGACAGAGGACAGGTAATTGCTTTCTTGCTAGGGCACAAAGAGCACAGGTTGCCAGACCTTAGCTTTACGCATCTATCTTGACTGCAACAGATCACTGGGTACCTCTCCAGTTTGTCCGAGATTGTCTCATGCTCTGTTCAGAAGTCACTGGCTTGAGAATATTTACAAGTTAAGTAAAACAGTTCTGTACTTTTCTTGCTGATGAATAGTGTGTGTGCCAACCAGTAAACGTTTAGAAAGTGGATGAGGACAAATGAAAAATGAAAGGCCCTGGATCAACAGACTGAGAGCAGGTAAAACAGTCTTCTTCGGCATCTAAGTGAAGTTGAAGATGAATAGGCAGACTACATAGAATGACAAGACTATCTAGACACATACGTGGGAACCTGTTCCTTTGCATGTTTGAAGAAGAATCCTAACTGCAAGCACAGTGATTTATGCCACCAGAGGAGACTGCCGACCTGGGTTTATCTCTATATTTATTCTTAAAGACTTTGAGTTTGGATGACAGCAGTCCTCCCAAGCATCAGGCCTGGAGACTGTCAAAGAGCAACTTCCATTTGTTCTAAGCAAACATGCACAACAAGCTGTCACGGACTGGACAAAAGAAGAAATAACACTAAGTACCATATCCTAGATTAATAAATTCCATGGCTGAAAACAGCCTTGTGATTTCCATTAAAGTAACAGAAGTATTTGATGTGCAAACAAACTAATAAAAGATAAATTAATTAAAAAAAATTAAATTAGCTAAGCCACAATTCAACCTAGATGATGCAGAAAACCTTGTATTTAAAAATACTTACCAGCCACCTACTAAGTACAAACACACTCTAGAGCAAGTAAAGAAATGTCTATTTCTAGACAAAAGGAAAAACTCAAGCAAACCAAATTTCAAGTGGCAAAACATCACCTTCTGATCCAGTAATTACTGGCTTTGCCATCATGACATGGAATAGTTTGCTGGAAACTAAAGGCCACTTTTTCATCTTACTGAAATCAGTGAGTACTTACCAGAAGTTTAAGGCAACTTTTTTAATCCAAAATGTGTTTCCCTGAAGTTATTTTTTTTCTCTAGAAGAGTCAATAACAACTTCAGAGGAACTATGACATTACAATTTCCAAGACAAAAAGAAAACAAACCCGAAGCTTTTCAATCATCTGATATTTTTGGGACACTGAACCAGAATATCTGGGTATGTACTTTTAGCTTATTAATACTATGAAATGAGCAATTATTTTTAGTTCTGAAAATACTCCACAGTAAGTCACATTTAACAGAAAATCATTTTGGATGGACCTCACATAATTACTGGCTTTGAAGCTTTAAATGTGTAATTTTTATTTAGATCTCTTTCTTAACGTCACTCCACTGTGATCTAGCAACAGATCCAAAAAAAGGACTTAGACCTTTTAACCCTAACCTTCACAGTAAGAGGGACAGCCTAAGATTTCTGAGCTGCCTGGGACTCTTATTGGAGGAAACTGTCAGATCTGTGCGTAGCCATGCATGTAGCACTACTATGCAGTGACTAATAGCACTGCAAAAGAAAGATTTTAAACTCAGAAAATGCATCAGATTTAACCTATCAAGTCAAATCCCTAATAAAACAATTCACTGGTGTAGCAGGGAAAAAAAAACACAAACCCCAAACAAACCCAAAACCAGCCAGATGCACATATACCTGCTCTTTCACTTATTTTGATTTGTGATCCAACATTATTCTATCCTCCCTACTACTAAATGCTTCCTTTTGCGGTTGATTCAAGTCATTAAGCAAAAGAAGAAATGCAGATAGCAGCATTATGAGGCCAGGACTTCACGTGCTTAGAATTAGCCCATGTTTTGAGTGTGTGAGGAACTAACTGCTGCCAATACAGGACTGAAGAAATGTGCAGCTTCTCAAGCCCTTATGACTAAGTCATGAAGCTCAAAGATGACCAGCGTGACCTATCAAGGTTCTTAGGAAGTTGTGAAAGAAGGATTATTAATCTGTATAGTAAATACAGTCTGTATTAATACAGATGCTTGTCTCATAGTACAGAATTGCACATCCAGCACATTCAAGCTAGGAACTCCTGCTTGGCAAGGTTGGTTAAAAATCAGTACGTGCACTATGTTTCCTCATGCCTGAAAATGTGGCAAAAAAAATATTAAATACTGATGATTCTAGACACTGAGTATCAAGCATAGGATGTAAGTGATAATAGATATTTGCACAGAACACTTCAAAGAATGATTAAAAGTTACCATTCTTCGACATTTAGGCACTCAAATATTTCACTTCAGGTGAAAAAAAAGGATCCACATTTAATGCAAATACGTAATTTACTCAAAGCCTGAAAAGCTGTTTCTCTGACATGGCTGCTGGGTCTGAATGTGTTAGTAATGGCATACTGTTGCACGAAGAAGGAACCAGAATGATGCCAACAAATGTCCATGATAACAACATTATCAGGAAAACTATCAAGCTGTTGTGGTATGTCTAGGAATAAACTCTAACTACATAAAGGTCTATAAGATTGTTAAAAAGTCTGTAAGTATGAGGTCATTAAATTAGAGATTGTCTGTAATCACATCCTATCACTTTCTTAGCATTATCTACAAAGTGCCTTGGAAAGGATTCAGCTCCTGTGCTATATAAAGCAAGAAGGCTCTTTCTGATTTCAAGACACAACTGGTTTATATATCTACCACTGTACTGCTAAACTGGGCATTCCCAAGTGTTACTATCCGTAGTGAGGAAATGCCTTATGCAACAGTATGATTCTGCTATGGAATCACAATCACATCAAGAGGTGAAAAAATATATATTCTAGCCAGGACTCTGTCACCTGGCCTGCCAAATTAAAATTACTAATGTATGGGTGGTTTCAGAAGGAATAACTGACAGTTTAAGCTAGTGGTAAAAGTATTTTCCTATACCATATTCCTGGTTAACACACACTTAGGTGAGAGAAAATCCAAGAGGACAGATAGCATTAAGTTTCTAGACAGTACACCCACGTAAAATGCTTATGGAACAGGCTCCTTCACCACTGGACCATTGGACCATTGACCCGCTAATTAATTCCAGAAGAACAAAAAGAACCATTAGCAATAAGCTTGTCAACAATAACGTCATTGGCATTCCTGGTTAACACACACTTAGGTGAGAGAAAATCCAAGAGGACAGATAGCATTAAGTTTCTAGACAGTACACCCACGTAAAATGCTTATGGAACAGGCTCCTTCACCACTGGACCATTGGACCATTGACCCGCTAATTAATTCCAGAAGAACAAAAAGAACCATTAGCAATAAGCTTGTCAACAATAACGTCATTGGCAATGGTATTACGGTAAGTGGAGGAAGTTACCACTGTCACAGGAGGCATCAACATCAAATCCAGTAATGAAGGCAGGCTGATAACTGAAATACCCTACCTTCAGTCGTCTGCTGGATTCTTCACCAATTGACTAGCAGATTGACCTAAGAATGTTTCTCCCAGAGTACACAACTCCTGGTTTTTATAGGGGTTTTGTTGGTTTGTTTGGGATTTTTGTTTTATTTTTTACATTCCCTAAAGATACTGGCAACCTTAAGGACTACAGATGACCGCCATGGAGATAACAATTGATCCAAAGCCAAATTCTAGGAAATTTGTTCTTTGGTGAAGATGCATTACCAGATCATATTTTATCCAAGGTGGGTTGCTTTAGAAAGAGTGGGTTTGCTTTCTCCCTTCCTTTACTACCACATCAGGTCAGACTGTGCATTCACTTCTCCCAGTCAGACCTAGCAGTCACTCATTCTAAATCCAAATTGTTATTCTTCGGGATTTGAGAAATGATCCAGCACATACTGAAGCTTCATGATCATTAGGGCCGCTGCAAGAGACGCAGAAAAAAAAAACCAACCCCAAACCAAAACACTACTGAAATTCAGGGAACAGGAAATCACAGTTCTCACTCACAGGCAGAGCAAAAAGCAGTGTCAGCCTGCACCCTCGAGAGGTTAAAGTCTTAGACTGGCTACTCAGAATGCTGAAACTGCTGGAGACTTCTGCTCAATGCATCTGAGGTCAGACACAGATTTCTCTTGTGAAGTTCATTCTCAGGCTGAATGCCCTTGTTTATTCTCCTGGGAAAAAGTTGTACAGTAAAACCCCCCCATGACAGCTTTCTCTTAAAGACATCACAACCTGAAACCTCTGACTTGCATGTTAAATAAAGAAAAGCAGCAACTGTGCCAACACACCATTTCAGGGAAAAAGAAAAGCTTTTCTCAACCATTCAGCAGAAAACTGAAATGCTAAAACCAATATTGAGGTCTTAATGACCTACCTCAGAGAGAAACAAGGAACAGCAAGCTGTAACTCCAATCTATGTAACATAGCAAGGGACAGTAAGAACTCAGAAACTGTTGTCCCAACCTCCATTATAACACCCTTATGTTAGAAAAAGAAAAGATCAAGTCTTTTTTTAACATGTATAATATGCACACAAGGCCAATAGCATGTATATGCCCAAACATTAAAAACCATACCAAACACAAACGTCTCACCCTACTCCATCCCCAAACTCTGCCACAAATTCAGGAATTTTTACGTGGAATCAATTGGTATGACAACAAATTCGAGATACTACTGCTACCCTAAGTGCACCCGCCACGTAGGGTACTTTTGTGGCTATTCATGTAAAATACAGTTCAGCAACCATGACTTCAAGCAGTAAAAGCCTTTTCAACTAGTTTGGGCTATCTATAAAGAAAATTATATGCCAGTTGTGATACAAAAGACTCAAGCAACGCTTACACAAAGACTTGCACGCTCATAGACTTAAGCCAAAAGATACCATACCTGATGTAGGTAATTCAAATGTGGCTTATTTTGATGTGACTGAATTTAAAGCTAACTCACACCAAATATAGTTTAAACAAACTAATAGCATCCATTTAGCCCTTTGAGTTGTACAAATAAGCTGTATGGAAAAAAGTATCTGTGCAATAAGATAAAGAATGGGAGCATGGCAGATAATTACACTAGGACAGACAGAGAAAGGTTCATGTCATGTTCCAATATGTCCAAAGCAAGCTTGGTAAAGAACCAAGAGACAGCTACACAAATACCAAAGAAGCAGCCACAGTGCCAAAACCAGCGGTTGTGGGGAATTAGCCTAAGCAATAAAGACAAAAAGCTACTGGCAGTAATGTTTCCACACAAGCAAAAAGAAAAGCAGGCAGACACAGCCAAGATTATCTGTTGACTGATATAAAACCAGAAGGAAGCATGGGTGACTTTTCTTGTACCCCAGTTTACAGACTAAAAGTCCCTGAGAGAATGGGGAGCTGTTGCTGCCCTCTAGTCAGCAAGCTGAGAGCTAGGAGGGAGAATTTTGATAGAAGCTAATTAGAGGTTAGCTAGGTTCTCAGAAAGGACAAAGTGAATGAATTCTATCTTCCAATCACTGAAACAACCTGAGAAGTCATCTGCTAAGAAACTTTTGTGAAAGCATCATTACTCCTTGTACTTTCAAGCAGCTTATTTTCCTTCTGTGTCTCCACATCTTTAAAAAACAAATGAACCCAGTATTAATTTACCTGGGTTCTATTGAAGTCTTTGATAGCTGCACAAACCGCACGCTTGTTTTCTTCTTCTTTTTGCTGTTGCTCCATAATCTTTTGGTCAAGTTCAATTCTATTCTTGTCATAAAGATCATCTAAATTAGATTTAAATGACATTTAGTCAATATTTATGATTTGTCATATGAGTAAGCCACTATAAGACAGAGAGAGCGAGAGACAGAGACAGCCAGGCATTACAGATACGGTACGTGAATTACATAACTATTTCCAAATCACTGAAACGTTCCATCTTGGAATTTCAGGTGATGCATGAAATCAGTTTATTACGTAACCCATCGTGTCTTAACAGTTAGGCAAAGTTAAAATGGGCAAGTATGTTAAGTATCGCAGAAAAAAATGTTTCATGACAAGCTAGCTGGGGGGGCAAAAAAAAAAAAAAATATCAGTATTATTTTCTCTGCTCTAGAACAGCAAAGATTGGGCAATATACCATCAAGCCTGTAAAACATAGATGGCTTTTCAGAATGCTCCAACACTTCATTTGGGGCATAAACCAGAAATGAAACCTAGACAATATTACATTCATATTATTAAATATAGATTTAAGTGAGATTGAATACATTAGAGCTTATAAGGTAAAAACCCAAATACTGAATATACTAAAGTACTGCTATGTCACAACGACACACTAGGCTATACCATACTGCTGTCAGATACAGCAGCATTTCAGAAAAGCAGATTAAAACTTTACTATCTTCTTTTGTTACCTGCAAATTTTTGATCGGCTAATGCATTCTTCCAGTCTCTCTGTTGCTGAAGAGACCACTCCCTTAACTGCTCCTTCTGAAATCTTATCCTCTGATCATAGTTTAAGTCTTCACCCATAAACTTCTGCAAGCCAGACACAGTACATCGAGGATCATTGTCTGAAAGTCGAGCAGGTCTATCCTTCTTCAGGGCTTGCGGATCAGACAGGTCAAATTCACGTCTTGTCTCTGGCTTCTGAAAATTCTTCCGAAATTCACTGATAGCCTTATTTATGTTTCTGATAGCATTTTTTTGTTGTTCTTCTAACATACACATGATCTTGTCATTTTGCTTCATTTCATTAGCTAGAGGAAAAATGAACATAATGAAAATACGACTCTCAGAAGTACATGTCATGGAAGTGCATATATAAGATGGAAAATGAAATTTTGAAGAGGAATAAATAGAGTATAAGTCTCCAAACGTTTATACCTTAGGAGAGAGTATTTGATCTCTGAGTACCATCCCAGCAAACACTCTAATGTTAGTAATGTTCACTTACAAAATACTTCCATTTTCTTTAGGCATCAATCCTCTTATTAATATTACAATGAAATATATGCATGTGAAACAGACAGTAATAAATACTACTAGAACTATAGATTTCATTTGATTAAAACTTGCAGTAACACATGAAATGTACTGTACCCTAATTCTTCCCATTTACTCTTAGTTTACAGTTACAACCTAAATACATTCAGTTACTTATTAAGAAACAAAATCAGGCTCTCAGTGAAAGGAATATAGATAGTTTCAATGATTTTTCTAACCATAGCACTAAAACAATTGGCTGGCAGTTTTTGAAGAGCTTAAGTGCTATTGCCCATTTAATCAAAATGCTGTAATTGTTTAAAGAAAAACAAACAAACAACAAAAAACCCCAAAACTAGCCATATAAATATAATTCACAAGAAAAGACCATTTCCTCTGTTGCCAGAGTACGTATTGCTTCTGGCAGTATCCTAGGAGCCAGTCTCACAGGTATTCTGCCAGGAGAATCACAAGCAGCTGCAGAAGCACAGCATGGAAGTTGGCAGCTCCAGTCTAGCTCCTCTTGAAACTCCCCGAGAGCTGTCTGTGGGACTTTTTCACAGGATACCACAGGAAAGCATTCCAAACACAGAGGGCCACAAAGGGTTGAGAGTCAGGGGTCATGGGTGATATATTTGTGTGGCCATGTATTCTGACTCAGCAACAGCTCCTACTTACAGCCCTGCTGTACATGACTCATGCTTCTAGCAATAAGAATCTGTAGAGGATTCTACAGAATCTATATATTTGATTGAAGAATGGCCAGACAGAACATGGGCTTCCTCTACAAGAAAGCAATCAAATTGCGACTACTATTCTGAAAAGAAGAGTAGTAAATAATTAAGTTTTTTTTTTTAAATCCGTATCTTCAGGGCTCTAAACGATGCTATTTGTCAATATTTATTAAAAGAAAGCAGTGAAAACTCCAGCCTATTAAAAAAGATACACCAGCTTAATGTCCATATAAATCTTAAAACAGGACATGAACAGGACTTGTTCCTTCAGCTTGTATGTCCGAATTTACAGAAAGGCTTAAAATAGTGCTTATATGTATCTCAATTGACAGATCTATATAGAAAGAGCTATACAGCAAGATTCAAGGAGATGAGCTCCATTTTGAAATAAATACAGTAGTTTGAAATCCACAAAAGGAAAAAGAAAGCAGGAAACAGATAGTAAATTACATTTAACTTTTCAGAGAAATATTGTAGTATATATGATTATACCAAGTTCTTCATTTTGTGCTTTTTCAGCTGCTTCTTGAATTTTCCGATCCTTGACCTGGGTATCCAATGCATCTTTATCAACCTATTAAAATGAAAAAAGCAGCCTTTTAAGAGATAGAGTGTTTGAATAATTAAAACCAGGAAAATGAGGAAGCAGAAGTCAAAGTAAGAATCAAGAAAAAAAAAAATTAAATCTCAATCCTATTCTGCTTTCCAGTCAGTGCATTATCTCCATGTTTTCAAACTACTCAATCCCTGTTTAAGGATTTGTGTGTCTGAGTCAAATATTACTTTGATTTTTTAAAAATTTTGTCAGAGACAAAACTCAGCTAAACTGGTGAGAGAGAGAGAGATATCACACCAGCAAAGAATCTAAACCCACATCGGAAATACTGATATACTATATCTCTGTATAGACTTGTTCAATCTTCATGTTTTGGACTTGGCCTAACTTCAAGGCACAATAATAGCCCCTTCGTCAGCAGTCACTGTTCAGCCAATAAATAAGGTCCACTGAATGATCATAGAATTGTAGTATCATGGAATGGTTTGGGTTGAACGGGACCTTAAAGTCCATCTCGTTCCAACCCCCCCTGCCATGGGCAGGGACACCTTCCACTAGACCAGGTTGTTCCAAGCCTCATCCAGCCTGGCCTTGGACACTTCCAGGGATGGGGCATCCACAGCTTCTCTGGGCAACTTGTTCCAATGCCTCACCACCCTCTCCGGGAAGAACTTCTTCCTGATGTCCAATCTCAATCTCCCCACTACTTAAACCCATTACACTTTGTCCTCAAAATATTTGCAAAATTCCTCCAACGGGCTCTCCTTCATTTCAGGTGTCTCATGTAGATGGATCTATCAAAACTTGTCTGATAAGTCAGTTCTACAAAAGTGTCTGAGAAAGACCTTCAGATGGTGTACTTCAGTATCGCTCAATAAGGTACACCAAGTTACACTATTTCATTTGCTGAGAATTCATGGTTTACATTTCATATTTAAGGTTCTAGAAAAGCCATCTTACAGAGAAATCACATTTCTTGATGAAGAAAGTTGAGCTATCTTACTATACCATTCCACATCTGTTAAAAAAGGGTTATTAGCCCCTTCCACTTAAGTATATTGTTGGCTACCATCTGTGTCAGGTTGCTGTATGAGGTGGACAACCTGTCCTGTTCATTAAGGTGGAACTGCTGCTTTGTCATGCAACTACGATTACTCTTGCATAAGGGTGACAAGACTAAATCCAAGGTGCTGTCAGTAATAAGGTGAAGGCAGCCTTCCACTGACATGCAACACATCACTGACAAGATGGATCAAATTGACACCTGTTGCAATTCTACCAGTCCAATAAAGTCAACAGATTGGACCTATTTTCACCAATCTTAAATTTGGTCCTACACTACTGAATGCTACAGCACTTAAAACGATACATGCACCAGCACAAAGCACTCAAAATACTTTACAAGCAAAATTTAAACTTCTTTCACCTCACAGCACTCTTCAGGCACACAAACAGAAACTTAACGTGGGCCTTCAGACACATTACAGAAGAACGAAATGAACTATTGCATCCAAAATTTACACAGGTATAAAATGCAACATAATTTCCTGACATTCAGGATAAACTGCACAGATGACCTGGAGAAAACTCATTGGGCTGAAGCTCTCATTCCCACAGGTCTTCATATACTGAAGGATGCTCACATGCTGACATCCACTCCAAGAAAAATCCAGCACATCAGTTAACTCCATATACACAAACATGGCCTGATGGATCCATCTTATTTTGCCTGGTGCAAAATAGGGACCAGTTGCAGTATGCCTTTCAGCAACAAATCTCACAGCACTGATTCTAGCTCGTAGGGACAACTGAGCAGGTGAGTGATGTACCAGCAGAGATAAAACACTGATTTTTGTATGCCACCTTGCACGAGCTCTGCAAGTTCCTGGCTGACCCCAAAGTAAAGCACGCTACAATAACACAGATACTGGGACATGGAGCTTGATCTTCCTGTTAAGGAAAAAAGACACCCGGCTCCTGGACCTCACGGCAGTGAACCACGTCCCCCTCGGACTCCAACCTTCTTCCCCCCCGTCTAGCTGACAGAATGGCGATGGCGATGCCTAGAGATGTCTAACAGCTTGCTTTCAGCAGTTGTTTTTTAAAAACGCCTCAGTCCTCTGAAAGACGCGGCAAGCTGCTTCCTTCCCGCTTCCCCCTTCCTTGGGAGGGCGGAGGCCCCCAGGCCCGGAGAGGGCGCACTCCCAGCGGCTCGGGGGAGGGCTGACGCCCGTCCTCCCGCGGAGCCGGGTTCCCGTCCGCGCCCGCCGGGGTCTC